GGGCTCAGCGGCATCGTCATGCGTTCCAGCGCCACCGGCCGGCTTCGCCAGTGGGTGATGCGCGACGCGGCTGGCGCAGAAATGCCGGCCGTCCAGGCCGAGTCGGTGCTGGTGAACGACCCCACGGCCATGCGCTCAGCGGCGCTGATGGGCCTGGGCGTGACCTTGCTGGCCGTGCCCGACGTGCTGCCGCAGCTGGAACGCGGCGAACTCGTGAGGCTGCTGCCGCGCTGGTATGTCGATGCCGGCGCCATCTCGATTTATTACGCCACGCGCAGCCAGATGCCCGCCAAGACGCGTGTCTTCATCGACTTTGTGGCGGAGGCTTTTAAGCGTGAGCAACTGGCCCGCCGTTTCGCCGGCAGCCTTGCTTAGGTTTGCCTCCCGCCGCCAGCAGGCACGGCTGACTTGAAACACAATCGCTGTCTCCACATCTCCCGCCAAGCGGAAGGCAGCTCTCCATGACCCAATCCCTCAAAGTCGCCGTGATGGGCGCAGGCGCCGTCGGTTGTTATTTCGGCGGCATGCTGGCGCGAGCCGGGCATGAGGTCGTGCTGATCGCGCGGCCCCAGCACGTGGAGGCGATTGAACGCGACGGCCTGCGCATGGAAACCCGCATGTTCGACGAACACGTTCGGCTTGCCGCCAGCAGCGACCCGGCCGCCGTCAAGGGCGCCGACCTGGTGCTGTTCTGCGTCAAGTCCACCGACACCGAATCGGCCGGCGCATTGATACGCCCGCATCTCGCGGCCGGCACCCTGGTGCTGTGCCTGCAAAACGGCGTGGACAACGCCGACCGCCTGCGCGCCGTGCTGCCCGGCACCGCCGTGGCCGCCGCCGTGGTCTATGTCGCCACCGAAATGGCCGGCCCCGGCCACCTCAAGCACCATGGCCGCGGCGACCTGGTCATCGAGCCCTCAACGCGCAGCGACAGCGCCGCGCAAGCCCTGGTCGCGGCCGGCGTGCCCACCGAGATCTCCGCCAACGTGCGCGGCGCGCTGTGGGCCAAGCTCATCCTCAACTGCGCCTACAACGCCGTCTCGGCCATCGCCCAGCTGCCTTACGGCAAGACGGTGCAAGGCGTGGGCGTCGTCGACGTGATGCGCGACGTGGTCGCCGAATGCCTGGCCGTGGCCAAGGCCGAAGGCGTGCAGGTGGCCGGCGATGTGCATGTCGCCGTCGAAAAGCTGGCCGCCAGCATGCCGAATCAATATGCCTCCACCGCGCAAGACCTCGCGCGCGGCAAGCCCACCGAGATCGACTACCTCAACGGCCTGATCGTCAAACGCGGGGATGCGCTGGGGGTACCGGTGCCGGCGAACCGGGTGTTGTGGGCCATGGTGAAGTTGCTTGAAGGAAAAGCCGCAGCGGCCTGAGCGGCTCTCCCCCAGAGGGGAAGGTGCAAGAGAAATGGCAAGGGCAGGGCGCAGGCGTCACAAACCGGCAGCGTCAATCGTCATAGAGGCAGGTGGCGCTCAATTTCGAGCCACTCAACCTGGAGGAACTCCACCTCTACCTCCACCCTTGACCAGAAAGTGCACACATGAAAATCGTCGTCATCGGAGGCTCAGGCCTCATCGGATCCAAACTCGTCAACATCCTTCGCCAGCGCGGCCACGAGGCGGTGGCGGCCTCGCCGGCATCCGGCGTCAACACCCTCACCGGCCAAGGGCTGGCGGAAGTCCTGGCGGGCACCCAGGTGGTGGTCGACGTGGCCAACTCGCCCTCGTTTGAGGACAAGGCCGTGCTGGAATTTTTCGAGACCTCGGGCCGCAACCTGCTCGCGGCCGAAGCGGCCGCCGGTGTCGCGCACCACATCGCTCTTTCGGTCGTCGGCACCGACAAGCTTGTGGAAAGCGGTTATTTCCGCGGCAAGATCGCGCAGGAAAAACTCATCCGGGCCGCCAGCATCCCCTACACCATCGTCCACTCCACCCAGTTCATGGAGTTCCTGGGCGGCATCGCGCAGTCGGGCACCGAGGGGCAGACGGTCCGCCTGTCGCCGGCCTTTGTGCAACCTATCGCGTCCGACGACGTGGCCGCGGCGATGGCCGACTTCACGCTGGGCGCGCCGGTCAACGGCACGGTCGAGATCGCCGGCCCGGAAAAGGTGCGCCTTTCGGACCTCGTCCAGCGCTTCCTGACCGCAAGCAATGACCCGCGCAAGGTCGTCGCCGATCCGCAGGCACGCTACTTCGGCGCCGAGCTCAAGGACGACACGCTGGTGCCCGTTGGCAAGGCGCGCCTGGGCGCGGTACGGTTTGAGGAATGGTTCGCCAGGTCGCAGGCCGCGAAATAAATGCAGCCACTCCTTCCCCCTCTGGGGGAAGGCTGGGATGGGGGCTCCCCGGTTCCCCTGTTCCACGCCCGCCAGGCAATCGATGGCCGCGAG